CAGGGGCTGGGAGATGGGGGGGCGAGGGGTCTGGGACATGGGAGCGGGAGGCCTGGGGGGGTCCCTAACCCCACCTCCTTCCCCCCCAGGTGATGCCTTGTAACATCAGGCCTGGTAGGGGGGCAGAAGTGGGGCTTGGAGGTGCCGGGTCAATGGGGGATGGGCGTGTCCCAGGGTGCCCCTCTGCAGGTGGGTGGGGAAATTTATGTGGAGTGGGTGTGTCTCTCTCTAACTCCACCCACTCTTCCCCCCCCCAACCATTCCCGGCACACAAGTGGGAGGATGGGGTTTAGGGGGCAAGGTCTATGCGATATGGGTGGGGTTTGTGGGTGGGCGTGGCTCTCTCTAACCCCACCCCCTCCCCAGGTGGTGCCGTGTCACTCCATGCCGTGCAAGCTGTCGGGCAACGCCCAGTGCCCCTGGACTGACGGGCTGCAGGACTGGAACTGGCAGGGGCCCCAGGCCGAGCGCCAGGCCTGCCTGCCCCGCCCCAGCCAGCCCCTCGAGGACAGCTTCTGCGCCTGGGAGACCCTTGACGACAGCTTCTCCGAGGCCACAGCCAACTCCCCCGGACTGTGACCCCCCAAAATACCCTGACCCCCAGAACTGTCACCCCCTCTCCCTTTGTTCCCCCACCCCAGCTCGGGCTCGGTTAAAATGATTTTGCTGAGTTTGATTCTTAAATAAATAAATTGCTGGAACCCAGATCTGCGCTGTCGTCTGCCGGCCCAGGGCCGGGGGGCGTGAGAACCCCTTGCATTGAGCCCCAGGCCGAGCTGCCCCCTGGCACATACCCCAGAGCACCCCCAGGCACCAATCCCTGGCTGCTCCCCTGTGCCCCAATCCACTGCACCCCCAGGAGTGGAGTTCTCTATGTACAGCTCCTGAGATGCAGCCACCTCTGGGGCAGGGCAGCTGCAAACAGACAAACATAACATTACATGGGAATGGCTCGCCCGGCACTGAGATGCAGCCACCTCTGGGGCGGAGTGGCTGAGGAATGGGTGCACAAAACACAAAACACCAGCCCCCTGCCAGCCCGGGCCTGAGCTCCCCTCCCCACATGCTGCTGGTGCCCCTCACTCCTGAGACCCAATGCCCCTGCCAGAGAGCTAGGAGGGAACCCAGGAGTCCTGGCTCCCAGCCCCCTTGCTCTAACCACTAGCCCCCACTCCCCTCCCAGAGCCGGGGAGAGAACCCAGGAGTCCTGGCTGTGTGCAGATGGGGGTTGGCTCTACTGGCTCCAGGCCGGGGAACGCTGTGATGTCACAGTGGGTCTCCATGGGGATGTTCTAGAACGCGGGGCGGCTGGGAGACATCAGAGCAAGGGGTGGGTGTGTGGCTTGGGGGTCACTGGGGTGTTGTGGTGCTGCAGGGGCTGGTAAGTGCCCCACAGAGCTGCTGCCCCCGGGGGACCCGCTCAGCATCTCCTTCCCGCCGGGGAAACAGAGGCATGGAACGGCTTGGGGACAAGTGACTGGGTGGGCTGGGAGCCAGGACTCCTGGGTTCTATTCTGGCTCCAGCAGGAGAGGTGGGGGTGTGTGTCTAGTGGTTACAGTGAGGGAGGGGGAGGGGTGCTAGGAGCCAGGGCTCCTGGGTTCTCTGGGAGGGGAGTGGGGAGAGCTGGGAGCCAGGACTCCTGGGTTCTCTCCCCGGCTCCGGGAGGGGAGTGGGGGCTGGTGGTTAGAGCGGGGGGGCTGGGAGTCAGGACTCCTGGGTTCTCTCCCCGGCTCTGGAAGGGGAGTGGGGGCTGGTGGGTTAGAGCATGGGGGGCTGGGAGCCAGAACTCCGGGGTTCTTTGCCCGCTCTAAGCGGGAGGCCAGTGTCACACTTCTCCCCTTCACCCTGCCTCCGCCCCCTCGCCTCTCTCCCCCCGCAGGTGGCACGGAGGGTGTGGGGCCCCGAACCCGGCGGCCTCGCCCCGGCCTTTGGCCATGAGGGCTCTGGTGCTGCTTCCCGTCCTGGCCTGCCTGAGCGCCGGGGCCCGGGGCCAGGTGTTCAGTCGCTGCGAGCTGGCCCGGCTGCTGAAGAGAGGGGGGCTGGACGGGTTCATGGGGTACCGTCTGGACAACTGTGAGTGCCCCTCCCCCCGTCCTCTCCTCCCCCCTCGCCCTGTCTCCGGCTCTCGCCCTTGGAGGCTCCCAGCAATTCATTCCCCCCCGCAACTATTCCAGGACTCCTGGGTTCTCTCCCCAGCTCTGGGAGGGGAGGGGGTCTAGTGGTTAGAGCAGGGGGCTGGGAACCAGGACTCCTGGGTTCTCTCCCCAGTGCTGTGAGGGAAGTGGGGTCTAGTGGTTAAAGCAGAGGGGGCTGGGAACCAGGACTCCTGGGTTCTCTCCCCGGTGCTGTGAGGGAAGTGGGGTCTAGTGGTTAGAGCAGAGGGGGCTGGGAACCAGGATTCAGTTTGCCGCTCTCTGTCTCACCAGTGGCCAGCTCCAGAGGCAAAACCATCTCCTGCCTCCCAGGCATCTCTGTCCTGTTTGCCCGACCCAGGATTTCCTGAGCCCTGTTGAGCTCCTTGTCCACCGGGGACCCCAGACCCTTTCCAGGTCCCTGCTTTGCACGACACACCCCCAGTTGGGCCAGCCTTCCTCCTTCCTAAGGGTAGCGCCTGGCCCTGGTCCATATGGGTTGAACGGGCCCAGCTGACCGAGCCGGCCCAGCGTCGATTCTCTCTGCCTCCAGCCATCCTCCGGGCTCTCAGCCGCTCGGGGTCCCGCCTGCCAGCCGGGAGGGATGGGGACTCCCTTTCTCTTTGCCCCGGAGGCCAAGGGGCAGTCTGCAATGTCTCCCCCCGCGCAGGGATCTGCCTGGCTTTCTACGCCAGCCGCTTCGACACGGGGACGGTGACGGAGAACTCGGACGGCAGCTCCGACTACGGGATCTTCCAGATCAACAGCCGCCGGTGGTGCAGCGACCAGCGCAGCCGCACGCTGGACCTGTGCCAGACGCGCTGCCGCGGTACGGCCCCCCCGGAGGAGAGGGGGGCAGGGACCCCAGCCCCACAGGGCCGCCCAGCTGGGCAGGGGAGAGTCTGGGATAGCTAGAGGGGGTGTGGGGATAGATAGATAGGACGTAGCTTTCCCCAGCCATGTGGCCTTTCCCAGCATGACATACAACGTGCAGTCCAGTAACCCGGCTGCCCCACCCCAGAGGTGGCTGCATCTAGGCACCGGGTGAAGCAGCCCTGCACAGCGTAGATTGGTCTGGGCCGGGATAGCTGGCCCGCAGGCCTGCATGGGGGACCTGCCCAGCTGGGGGATCGGGGTCCGCGCAGCCTGACCCCCTTCACACCTCATCTCATTCTTTCCCCACAGATTTACTGACTGCCGACCTAGTGGACGACATCAATTGTGTCAAGAAAGTCGTGATGGACTGGCAGGGGATGGGAGTCTGGTATGGGAAACATTATCTATCTATCTATCCCCATCCACCCCCTCTATCTATCTATCCCCATCCACCCTATCTATCTATCTATCTATCTATCTATCTATCTATCTATCTATCTATCTATCTATCTATCTATC